GCCCGCGCTCGAGCCCTCGGAGCTGTTGATGATGTTCTTGAGGATCTCCAGCTTGAGGCTCTCCCGCTGCGCGCCGCCCTCCGTCTTGGCGCCGCCGCCGAACACCTTGAGCGTGGGGCTGCCGAGCGCGCGCTTGGCGGCCGGGCACACCGGGGGCTTGGCCAGCACGGCCGGCTTCACGGGCTCCTGCTTGGCGTTGATGACCTCCTGGCTCTTGACGTACTTGGCCTTGTCGGCCTCCAGCCTCTCCACGGCGCTGAGTCTTTTGGGGTTGGGCTCGGCCTGCCGGCGAAAGTAGTCGGGGCCCTTGTTGAGGATGCGCAGGGGCACGGCCGACGTGAAGGTGCCGGCGGGGCTGACCGGCTTGACCATGCTACCTGTCTGTAGGCTCTCCGTGGGCATGGCGGGCGGTCTCTCCCCGGCGGCCGTGGTGGATGCTCTTCTGGGCGCCTCCGGATGCGCTGAACAGACACATGTGCGTGGAGCACAAAGGGCGGCGGACGGTCCCGGAACCTGAGCGTCAGCAGCAGCGGCGGCGGCGGCGGCAGCAGCGCCTCATCTCACAGCTCATGACCCGCCCCGGGGCTGGAAGCCACTTCCCCGCCGGCGGGCAGCCCCGCGCAGAAAGGCCACCAGCCACAAGTTCCGGCGCAGGGTTCCCACGCGCCAGCTCCTCCGGCTGCCTCCCCTCTAGGGGAGAACCGCCTCCCCATCACGCCCGGCTGGCATCACTTATATCAAAACCCAGGAAATACTGGATGCGCGCAGAAAGGCGGGTTTGCCACAGCCCGGTTCCCAGTGCACGCAGTGCCACTGGGTTCCCGAGAATCCCTTCTCTGCTTTAGGCGACAGCCTCGTTTGCCATGAAGCAAAACTTCTGACTTCTCACCATCAGTCTCTCCTAACACTTCCGCAAGCTCCTCACTCTTCAAAAACTGAAAGGTGGGCAAGAAATGGCAGGGAAGATGAAAAAGATCTTCAGAGAGTCAACATGTTCCTCTTACTTTTGCCCACCAGTATCTTTGACAACACTCTCCCGAAAATTAAGAATGTGTATGACGTTCATCCCATTAAACACAAGCTTATTTTTAACTAAAATACAAACAAAACCCCCTAAACTCCTAGAAACACTTCCAGATCAACCACCTGTATAGGTATAGGTAACTGGATTATAAATGTCCCATAATTTTTCACGCAAGGAGCAGAATCAAAAGTTTGTGATATGCATTTTCCCCAATCCCCTAGAAAACTGAGAACAAAATCTTAAGGTGTCAGTCATACATAAATGTTACTTTACAGAAAACCTGTATGACAGTTAAGCACTCCTGGGGCTTATTTATGGCTTTCTGAACAACTTGACCCCCCCCCCCATCCAAAGCCACTATAATGAAACTCTTATCAATACTCCCAAAATAAATCTTTAGGGAGTCTTTCTGCTTAGCACATAATATAGTGTACCATCCCCGCAGCCCTCTGAACAACTCCTCGTTAGCCTGTCACCGCTGGCAGAGAACACTGACAAATACATCAGCATTCCAAGGCACTGGTTAAAGATCTTTTCAGCATCTTTGGTGATAATCAGGGGTATTAAGAGACTAACATATTCAACTGACACATCAAATAGCTAATTCACAAAATAAATGAAGTGGTATGACTATAAAACCATTTGCTCTCGTGGTAGGAAAATGAAGAGCCTGTTAACAACACGCTTTGGAGGCGGGGGGAGGCTGGTAGATTTCCTTATCATCTTTCAGAACTCTTAATCTCTAAGCACACCCATCGTCCTGTTCTGTTAGAGACAGTTTTGGTAATCTGCAAAATGATCTGTTCTAATAAAAATATTTTCATTCGTAAGATTTAAGAAGCCCCAAGGCAATTCCTCCACAATGATTTCCTTTAATTGTGTGGTTCTATGATGATACTTCAATTTAGTTTAAAAACCATCTCCTCTCATGAAGATTAAGTGAGATTGTTTCTTTGAACATAGTCTGAATGCAACGCAAGGGGAGGAGTGGAGTCCTCTGCAGAGCCTCAGGGTCTGCTCCCCCCCTACCCTGGGTCCACAACGTGGGGAGATGAGTGGGCAGAGGAGCCTGGGCTTGGAGACAAACCCCTGGGCAGCCCCCAGGGCACCTGACAGCCCCCAGGACAGGCCATGTTTCTCCTGAGCATGTGCAACATCTCCACTGATTCCCTCTGTACCTCCCAAAATGTGTCTGCAGAGGGGACCTTGCCAAAAGGTTCAGGGACAGAGTGAAGGACAGGACTGCAATCTCTGCCCGCCAGCCTGGTACCCGAGGACCACAGCACACCTCCGGCCAGTGGGGAGAAGGCCCGGCGGGCGACAGGAGGCAGCCCTGCGCCCCCTCCCAGGGCCGTGTCTTCTCATCTGTGACGTGCGGTGCCTGGACGAGACTCCCACTCTCTTCTCCCTCTGAGGATGGCTCCCCCGGGCACCCCCATCCCACACACCACGCCCTGAGGAAGCAGTTAGTAGTCACAAAACCAGCATGAGATGTTTCTGTCAGAAAAACAGTAATTATCTGTAACCAATTTACACTTCATTTCCTTTTTGTTTCTACCCCTCTGCCATGTTTCCTCAATTATTCCCAATTTCCCTAATAATTTTTAACACACTGGTGATGTTTTGAAATGACCATGGTCACAGTTTAAAAGTTTTCATTTAAACTCTTTGGAAGAGGGGAAAAGCATCTTCTTAGAGAACTCAAAAGCCCTGAAAAAGCTGGAGGAACTGGCTGGGGCCCCCGGGGCACCACGCAGCACCCTTGATGTTTTCCACCTGTTTTTGCGAACAACCTGAACCTCCTGCAAAGATAACGCAGGCGGAATCGGCTGCTCCTCGTCTCCATCTTGACACCACCCTTAAACTCATGCTCTCTTACTTTTCGATGTTTAACCCGTGTTGGCTGAGATAAGCTGCACACCACGTATATTCACGATGACCAGTCAAATGGTAAGTGACACACCCGGAAGCCTGGAGCTACATTGTGATGCCAGAGATGTGATAATCATGACCTGCGTTCGGGGGACACTGGGCACGTGACCTCTGCTGATGGCGGCCTGGCCCCAGGCCCCTGATACCAACAGGCCCTGCAGGTGCGCCCAGGCACTGATGGTAGCAGCCAGGGGCTCCTATTCCTCTTCATCTTGTTTTAGGGAAGGAAAATCAGATCTCAGCTGTACACGGTTTCATAAACAGAAAGAATCATCCAGCCGTGCTTGGTCCCCCACTGAGGGCGAAGGAGCGGGAGCACAGGCCTGAGGGAAGCGTCCATTCACAGACCATTTGCCTACATTCTACCCCATTTAATATCTATTTTAAAATTTCATGAAAGCTTAAAAAAATTTGGCAAAACCAAGGCCCCCTGAGTCAGGGCAGACATGGACCCAACAGCAGCTGGCCTGGGGGTCATCATGGGAGGAGCTGTCCCTGCCAGCTCCTTCCCACTGGGGGACCAGGGCTGGAGGGGGTCACGTTATCCATGCGGAAGGGCTGGTGGGGCAGAGAGCCAGCTGAGGACAGAGGACACGCTCCCAATGTCTCTTGCGATGCTTCTCAAACTTCTGCGTGCCCGTGCCCCTGGGGATCTGCTCCAGACCAGATTCTGACTCAGCAGGTTCAGGGTGGGCCCCCGAGGCCGCATTTCTCACCAGATCCCAGGAGATGCCCAGGCAGCTGGTCTAGCCTTTGCACTCAAGGAAATGGAAGGAACCTCACTCCTGGACCAGCGAGCATCAGAGTTGGTCCTGGGTGCTGGCGTGGAGAAAGCCAGCCAAGCTTTCTTGTCTCGTAAGTGAGTACAAGTCTGGGGCTCTGGGGGCAAGGAAATAGCAATGCTAGAGAGTTCAAAACTTTTAAAACCAAAATGGCCTGGATCCTTCTAATTTGAAATCTGCCCGCAGCTCACAGGGGCAGTTAGGTAGAGACCAGGACCCAGATACCCTGGTCTAAGAGCACTTACTACCCCGGAGGCAGTTAGGGACAGAAAATGAGCTGCAGTACACACAGTTCATGGGAAAAATGCTTCAAGTCCAATTCCTGTAACGTGTACCTCCACGTCTCCGAGATCAGGCAGGTAACAGGGATTGTGGCCTGTGTGAGGGGGCCTCTGGCTACGGGCTGCCACAGGGAATGGCCTTCACTGCTGACGCAGCCAACCCAGATTTCTGAGTCATCTCTCGAGATTTTAAAATGCAATAATAGAAAACAGCGTGGGCCACATGCTTCCAGTAAGCAAAAAGAAAGAACAGTTAATGCCTAATTGATCCTTGAATTTTAGGCAGGAAGAAAGCACCGCTGCGAGAGCAAGGGCCCTGGGACCGAACACCTGCCCGCTTTCACCCGCAGACGTTTCAGAAGTATGTGAAAGCTGGTCCCTTCTCTTGTGTGTTACGGCAGAAAAAAAGGTGGGGATACTGTTTCAAAGAGGGAGTCACTAATGCTGCTCGGAGTCACCTAACATCTCAGTGTCTAGATCTCACCTACGAACGTGGACGTGTTCAGTTCGGGAGCCTGCAAACGTCTGCAGCTCAGACATTCTTGGAGGCGAAGAGCAGAAGCAGCAAATTTACCTTGGAGCTTAGAAGAGCTCTCAGAGAATGGATTCTCCTGGCTTCCTCACGTCAGATCAGAAAGCATTTACAATATGGGCACACTTGTCCCAGGCTGCTTTCTGGCTTTTCGTAACAGCATCTGTGCTCATTGACTTTAGGCGTAAGAGTCCAACCGGACTGGCGGTCACTCTCCTAACTGCAGTCTTGGTTTTCCCCATTTAAGAACAGAGACACATGCTTCTTATTAAAGTAAGAATGCAGTCTCGCGTGACAGTGTTACCTTCTGAATTCTTTACAAACGTAAGAGAAAGGCGCTCAAAATCTAAGGGTGCTCACTGACTCACGGGCTGCGCTGAATCAACTGACTAGCACCTGTTGACTGAACAGTTATGTGTAAGGTGGAAAGGAACAAGAAAGTCATGACAATTTAGGAAAGAAGACTGAAAAAAATATGATGACTACTAATTGAATGATGTTGATAAATACGGCAGGACTGTCACAAAGCACTTTCCCACCCCAACCTACTTGCGAGTCAGAGGACGGAGCAGTGAGGAGGAAAGACGGGGGTAAACGGCCGGAGACTGCGTGTCTGTCCCCACAGCAGCTCTCTCCTGAGCTCACAGTTCATTCAGGAACCCTAAGGCACACCCCACGGCGATGCAGAGCGCCGGGGGGTGGCGGCATGGGGAGGGCTGAGGGGTGGATAGGCTTTGGATTTTATGCAGAGTAATGGGAGAGCCATACAGGGGACTGCAGCATTAGTGACAAGGTCAGATCTGTATTTTTAAAAAGTCCCCCGGCTGCAGGGAGGGGACAGGAGGGGGAGCAGGAGCAGCTGCAGAGGCCCAGCAGAGCTGCCCAGCAGAGGGAGGGGCAGCGGGCTCTGACTGGTGGCCCACCGGGCACTGCCTTTGGGTTTGAATCCTGGCTCTGCCCCGGAAGGGCTGCGTAGCCTGGGGCAGGTCACCTCCACTACCGGTGCCTCAGGTGTCCCATTTCTTGGTGGAGATAACTTCACTACCTACAGTTCAGGGGAACTGAGCAGGTCAAATAAGGGCACAAAGAT